AGCGGCTGGGCCCGTGGGCCGTGGCCGCTGGGCCTGCGCGTCCGGAGGCTGTGCTCCGCGGCGGGGAGAGGCCCGCGTACAGCAAAAAAAAAAAAAAAAAGAAAGAAAATATAAGAAGTAACATATATATTCAGTCAGTTTAAACCAGGTTTTCCCTTCCAAAGGAAATGTTTAGAAGACACTCTGGAATATCTAAATACAATATGGATCAACTTTTAAAAGATTTTTATAATTGGAAAAGAAATTAAAATGAACATTTTGAAAAAAATGTAAACATTTAAAAATCAACATTAGACTCCAAAATATAGAAAGGCATGCAGAAAAAGAAGACTAAACTCAGCAAATACTGTTCAAGGGCCGAAAGAAATATTAAAGCCAAGTCACAGGCAGGCAGGAAAGTAAAACAAATGGAAAATTATTTCATGCTTAAATAATTCTCTATCAAAGAAAACAGCATGTCTGATTTCAGAGAATACCTCAGGAAGCAGCATTTTTAGTAATAATAGAAGCAATATCCTTATTCGTTATGTTCTTTCAAAGATGCACATTCCTGAGTCCTAGAAAGGAAGAAATCCTTCCCATCAGCCTTCTCTTGAGGTTCTCTGGTTGGATCCAAATTGCTGGTTTCCCTGGGAAAACTCTTCTCCAGGATTATGAAACCACAGAAGGTCCTTTAAGTCAATGGAACATCACAGTGCAAGTTGCTGCAGAAGGTGGGCTGTGGCCCGGCCCCAGGTCATTTGTGTGTAAAGGGGACCAGCTAGGTGCATGTCCAGCATCCATTAACACACAGGCAGGCAGCAATAGGGCAGCCAGGCACCAAAAAACTCCCAAGAGTCAAGGCACTCTTGCTCCCTCTCCTAAATACAGTAGGCTTCCCTCTTTCTGTTCATGTGTGCATGCCATTCTCTAAACTAGAGGCCGAATCATAACTGCAGCTACTCTGAAGTTCTGCACGCATACCATACACACATATTCAACCTCCACAGCAATACGGTTTATACATACACAGGCACAGAATATAATAATGCAGTGCCCTCTCAGTTAGCTGAACCTTTGGATATGGAAGGCTAACCCTTTAACACCACCACCACACCCCTAGCCCTGCCCCAGGCCTCAAGGGCCTCTAAGAAGGCGGAGCTCATTGTTTTCTGATGCCTGCTGTAAAGCCCACTTCCTCCTGCTTGCCAGCCACGTGCCTCCCAAACTTGTCTCTGCAGCTGCTTCCAAGCCTCACCACCTCTTCTCTCTTTTCTCTGAATTCTCTAGAGCTTTTTCTCTCCTTAGCTTTTCCCATGCTTCTCACTTACACGTGAAAAGACAAGCCTTTTACAGGCATCACAGGCCAATCAGATGGCAATCACAGTATGCGCTGTATAATCTCTGGGTATTCCACTCTGCTCAACTGTTTTCATCACCTACTACTCAATGCTTTTTCTTCAGCATTAGAAACGCTTTTCGGCATTATTCTGGAAGCCTGAGGAGAGAAGGAGGTTGATTTCTAGATAATCTAGCTTGTAGTAGCAGTTCAAGTTCATTTAAATCTGTTGTCATAGACATATTAATTAAGTTGTATTTGATATTTAAAAAACAGCATCCTCATATCCTGGATCCTTGCTGACAAATCAATTTTGGATTCATTTCATTTAGTTTAACCCAAGGAATAATGCAGAAGTGAATATAAGCACTTGTGTTACTAAAATGATCCAAAATTTAGCTTTATAGTTTTATAAATTATTTAAATCACTGAATAGTACTTACTGTTGCATGATAGTTTCTATACATGGGCATTTTTAGTAATTTTGTCAAGTAATCCTCTAGTTGTTTCTGTAATGCAAATATTTTACATTAGAGATATCATCATACTTAGGGGAAAATGTAAACAGTGACAAATGACATGACTGTTCCATCTTAACTTCTGTAAGTTATTTAATTATTTATTAATGTTTTCATTGGACAAGGAACCCTGAATACATCCCTCTCAGAACATAAAAGTTTCAGATAACAAAACAGAACTGACATTCATGTGTTAATTTTCTGGTAAAAAGTGAATTAATCTTCTGCCCTATGCAGCACCATATCACTGAATCAGTGTGGGCAGAAGTGTCCCCTGTCCTGAGGTTTCTGTTCTACTGTTGTACGTGTCTGTACTTTGTCCTACTCTTCTGAGACTCTAACTGTCCCATCTATAGTTTGGGAATGATATTTACATATATTTAGAACAAGCCACTACAAATTCTTTTTTTATTTTTACTTATTTATTTTAATTGAAGTATAGTCGATTCACAATACTGTGTTAGTTTCAGGTGTACAGCAAAGTGATTCAGTTATACATACATACATACATATCTATTTTTCTCAGATTCTTTTCCCTTATAGGTTATTATAAAATATTGAGTATAGTTCCCTGTGCTATACAGTAGGTTTTTGTTGGTTATCTATTTTATATATAGTAGTATGTATATGTTAATGTACAAACTCTTAATTTATCCCTCCCCCCACTTTTCCCCTTGGTAACCATAAATTTGTTTTCTATGTCTGTGAGTCTATTTCTGTTTTGTATATAAGTTCATCTGTATCTTTTTTTAGATTCCACATATAAGCAATATTATATGATATTTTTCTTTCTCTGGCTTACTTTGCTTAGTATGATATCTCTAAGTCCACCCATGTTGTTTCAAATGGCATTATTTCATTCTTTTTTTAAGGCTGAGTAATATTCCATAGTATGTATATAACACATCTTTATCCATTCATCTGTTGATGGACATTTAGGTTGCTTCCATGTCTTAGCTATTGTAAATAATGCTGCAATGAACACTGGGGTGCATGTATCTTTTCTAATTACGGTTTTCTCTTGTTATATGCCCAGGAGTGGGATTGCAGGGTCATATGGTAGCTCTATTTTTAGATTTTTTTAAGGAACCTCCATATTGTCCATAGTGCCCATAGAAGCCACTGCAAATTCTGAAGCAAATATATGGAAATAGATTATTTTAAAAGAGTAGATCTCAGGGTTTCCCTGGTGGCGCAGTGGTTGAGAGTCCGCCTGCCGATACAGGGGACACGGGTTCGTGCCCTGGTCCGGGAAGATCCCACATGCCGCGGAGCGGCTGGGCCCGTGAGCCATGGCCGCCTCCTGACATAGAACACTCTTCCTCTTCTGGGAAAATGCAACCTCCCCAGGGCCAGAGTGGCTTGCGGAAGAAGGGTTACCTAACTAGTTCCAGAAAAGCTAAACCAGCCTGGGTGATGGATCAGCAGGTGAGAGAAGTTGCATCCAGGCCCACCTCACCCCGCAGTAGATGCCATGTTTCTATAGCACTGCAGAAGTATGTTCAGAACAACAGAAGAGCAAAAGGACTCACCCTTCTACCAAAGAACTGTTCTTCTTGGATCATGCTTTCAGATGAACGGGGCAAACTTGGCATCTCTCGAGGCTCTTCTTTGACATTCTGTCTTCTAAATGTGTGTCTAAAACACAGAGACACACACACAGACACACACACACACAGTGCAAACATTTATTAGATTATTCTTTAAACCATGACTGTCATAGTGTCTTTCAGGAGATAGCTTATTTTAAGAAGAGCCTATTTGATAAAATATATCCACCAACAATGGACCAATTAACCAATAACATGAATAAAATATTCTTTCAATCCAACTTGTATACTGGGACAACTTTCTAATTAATTCTGGGACAGTTACCTTCTGGTGGGAATGGGGATTCGGATAAAGGCTTTGTACTTGAGCAGCTCTCTGTGAAATTCTTGGAAGTGCTTGAACTTCCTCTTAACTTGCCATTTAAATTCCCCATGTGTTAATTCAATAGTGTAAAGATTGATGCTTGGTACCTAGAGCGATAAATAAAAATGGTTGATAGTTTAGATAACAACAAAAATTCCAAAATCTCTCCATGAACAATAGCTAAGTAATAAGTAACATGGATGTATCTTTAAATACAGCCTACTTATTCTGTGTAAGTACTGAAGCAAAAAGTTTTCCAAAACGACTGATGACAGAAGTAATATGCTCTTAAATATTCATCTTACGATATACATAAGACAAACTCTGAGTCACACCAAAGGCAAACCCCCATCAGTCCTATTGTTTCACATACACAGACACACACACCCACCCTTGAAACAAGAAACCAGGTAAAAGAGACAATGAGTGAAAGCCCTAATCAGCCATCGGGGGATTGTCCAAAAGTACAAGCAGCGAACAGACAATGGAGGGGGTGAGAGGGAAGCTGGACGAAATGACTTCCATTGTCATTCTTAGCCCACTTCAGCTCTTCACAAAAGACACTAATGCCCTCTCCTTCTGAAATGCCTTGCAAGCTCCATCCTCATCTATAACGTCTCCCTGTCCTGAAGCAATACCAGTGACTAGGAAGGTACAGGATGATTAGAGGGAAAAAAGCAAAAGATCTTCCTACACACAAAATATTTCACCAACTACTTAACTAGAATGAATTTCCACTTAAAATTTTTAAAATATTTCTTACTAAAATGCAAATATATCTTAGTGACTAGTGAATTATTTCAATCAGAAGAGCTAACAGACCTGGGGGATCCAAGTTTTGATTTTGTGGAAAGTGTCAGGAGATGGAGGGATATGTATAAAGCACAGGAGATTGTGGAGAAATTCCCATGGTGTGTGGAGGATAGGGGAGGGTAGTGGACACTGGACCACCTAGAGGGCACTGGCCCCTGCTGGGAGACTGAGGCGCCACAGGTATTGATAAGTGTTGGTGGTGAAATCAAGTAAATGTCTCCTACTTTACTAGCTTATCCAGGCTTTGGTGTCAGCAACCCCACGGGTGATTCCCGGGCTGCTGCCAATCATTCGTGATGTTTGGTATATTTTGCAAACTTCTAAAGCATGGACCACGCTGTGTAGATGTGGTATATAAAAATGAGCACGAGAATCAATGTAACTTGTACTCTTAAGCCTGGAATCCAAACATATCGCCGGTAAATATTCAAATCCAGCTGTTGCTTTGCCTCTAGTTGGGATCCATGACAGTTACTATAACCAGAAGTCGAAAAAACCCAGTTCTGGGGTCTAATATTATATGCTGTCTTTCACCTTGGCCAACATTACAGGCATCATCCTGCATCATGTTTTACAGAGAAGGTTGCAGGAGAACTCAGAGTGGCCAGAAACTCTGCATTCAAGTGAAAAATGCTCAGTTTAAGACAAGCCAAATAAATAAGAAAAATTATACAAGTTAAACAAGCTGCCCCATATCCTAGGATTACATTCCCAATCTAAGAAAACTGAATACTTAAAAAACATTGCAAGTGCCAAGTTTTATCCTTCACACATAAACCCAGAACTTTGGACACTAGACTTCTTAGCAATTCTAAGGCAGTGTAGGGCAATGGAAACAGCCTGTCCCATCCTTTTTGAAGATTTTAAAGGCTTGAAACACTGTAGTGCAGCCTACCAGCTATGAAGCCTTAGCCAAGCACCACTTCTGTCAGATAATATCCCAGCAGAATTACTGGAATTTTTTGGAACTGGAATAGTGTGAGAAGTTTTAATAAAGGGACTGCCCATGAAGGTGTGATAAGAGTAAGGAAACCACAACATGGGGACAGTTACCTGGGACTCAGGAAGGCATCTCCAGTTCCAAAGGGACAAGAGGCAAGACCAGGTGCTGGAGTAGGAAGGAGAGAGCCATGCAAAGAGGCTGCCCTGGCGGGAGGATGCTTTTGGTCAAGGGACACAGCCAGGCCAGGGTGGCCCCAGTCTGGGCTCTCCACTGCCTGAACCCTGCCAGAAGACAAAGGCAAGGAAGCCTTGGGGGGGACAGGGCACAGGGTGGAGAAGGGTGGGAGGAGGAGTGGGAGGGGCAAGTGGGAGATCTCCTGCTGGGGAGGCGGGGCAACGTATGTCCCTCAGGGTTGTGATGAGAGTGAAAAGAGAAATGCCTAACCATGAGCTGGCACACAGAATGCATTCAGTCATTAGAAAAGTGTCATTTTTATTTACCTGGAATCACATTCAAACTGCATGAATTTAGTTCATATTTCTTAGTAAACTAAACACTAAGTAGGATAAGGAAGCTCCTTAGCTTTCCTACACAGACTGAGATTTAAAACAGAACTTGAAATTAATATAATACTGTAAATCAACTATACTTTAAAAATTAGGATCCAAAGGAAAAATTTTAATATATATAAAAAAAGAACAGAACTAAACTCACTTGACTAACAGAAGAGTATGAGCAAAGAGAAGTCCCTGGTTTGGTGGCTTAAATATTTATCTTCATAAATAACATTAGCAGATACTTAGTAATAATAATAATACATAGTATTATACAGTATATCCTTGTATAATACAATATATAATATTCTTATATTATACTATGTATTATTATTATTAAATCCTCATAACAAACCTAAAAGGTATGTCCTATTATACCTATTATTCAGATAAGGAAACTGAGAAACAGAGAGTTTAAGTAAATGGCTGAGGGTCACAATGCAAAGACAGGAATTAAACCATGTGGTCTGGCTCTGGAGTCTGTGCATTTAACTTCCACATGTTATCACCTCTCAATCTAAATGCTGGTAGGCGAAATAAGAAGGCAAAGGTCATTTTAGAGACATTTCTTGGTAGGTTGTGTTCAGTGGTGTATCAGGGAGATGTGGACCCAATTCACAGGAGGAGCCTGAAGGAAAGCTGAATACCGAGGTGGCTGTAAACTAGGAGTCGGGACATGCACAGGTAGGTCAGGACAGAGTGCGAGGCAAAATCATCAGGAAGTGGACAGCACGTGCCACCCTCCAGAGCCTGCCCCTGGAAGAAAGATTATTCTACCCCTCCCCCGAGGCAGGAGCCAATGGCTGCCTTACTCTGCCAGGGCCAGAGCTTAACCTGAACGGACAAAGGCCACCAGCCTGCATCAATGTTCTCTACCCTCAGACTTGACAAGTGTGAAATCCAGTCAGTAACAGAGCAAACGCAGCTACCCTAATAGCTTCTCCTAGTCCAATCCCCTTCAAAAGAATGCAGGTTTGCTTGATGAAAACTCTACTCCCAATGCCTTTCCAGAGCTTAAAAAGAAAACGTGAGTGAAGCTTAAGGGGTGGTGTTAGGAACAAGTCAGAGGGGCAGGGTATGCCAGCAGAATTCTCTCAGCAGCACTTCTGGGCAATGGCACTGGCCAGTGCAGCCTCCTGGCTTTGTTTCTTTCAAGAGCCAGGTAGTATCATTATTTTCTTGCTGAACAAACATTAGGAAAGCTAAACTTTTCCTTGGCTTATATCTGGCGTTCTCGGTGGAAGAGCAATGCCTCATGAGTCCACATTGAACAGAAAACTGGGGAGAGGCCCTTCGCAATTTATTAAACTTATAATCTGTCTTAAGCGCCTTTTTAAAAAAGCATTTTCCAGAATGGGGAAACAGATGTATAAGAATAAAGACTAAATGAGAAGGATGCAAAAACTTGAGAGGTGATGAGCACACAGAAGTGATTAAACAAAAACACAAACCCAAAGTTAAAAGCATAGTCATAGCTAGGAGGAAGGAAACTGCAAGGCAACGTGTTAAATCGTATATATTGACGGATACAAGTTGAGTCTATAAATGCTCTGACCTTTTTTGTAGATGTTAAGCGCTCCACTTCCAGAACTTGAACTTTTATTGGACAGCCGGAGAGATACGTCTGTGTATTAGGCTCCTTAAATCCTTGAGTCTTATAAATAGCAGAGAAAGGGATATACGCTAAAAAATAAATAAGTAAACAAAGTTATTGCAAGAATACAATGATATTAGCATAACTTGCCTTTTACAGGCATCTTTTTCTTTTTCTTTTTTTTTTTTGTGGCCTCTCCCGTTGCGGAGCACAGGCTCTGGATGCGCAGGCTCAGTGGCCATGGCTCACGGGCCCAGCCGCTCCACGGCATGTGGGATCTTCCCAGACCGGGGCACAAACCCGCAACCCCTGCATCGGCAGGCGGACTCTCAACCACTGCGCCACCAGGGAAGCCCCAGCAGGCATCTTTTTTAAGAATCATAACGTGCTACAACAAGAAAACAGCTAATGAAAATGAGCTCAGTGTTGTGACATCAGCAAGGATGATCAATCATCTGCCGGTTATTTCAAATCTGTGCTCTGCCAAGCAACCCTGATACACTCTCTTCTCCTTGCTCAGACCATCAGTCTTTACCTTCCTGTATCCTGGGATCGCTGGGAGACACATCGTAGTCCACCTCCTCTCCCTCAAAGTGGAGCTCCCGCGTGTCCAGATTTTCTATCAAATTACTCATGTCAGCAGCAATTTTCTGCAGTGCAGAGGTATTTACTCTTGGCTCATCTTTCAGTGACATGTTGGCTTGAGACAGGGTAAAAGCAAAGGAAAGAAGAAAAGGGTTACTAGACTTATTATTTTGGTCAAATAGAAAAAAGAACGAAATAATGCCATTTGCAGCGACATGGATGGACCTAGAGATTGTCATACTGAGTGAAGTAAGTCAGACAGAGAAAGACAAACACATGATATTGCTTATATGTGGAATCTAAAAAAATGGTACAAATGAACTTATTTACAAAACAGAAATAGAGTCACAGATGTAGGAAACAAACTTATGGCTACCAAGGGGGAAAAGGGGAGGGAAGGGATATGGGAGATTGGGATTGACGTATACACACTACTATGTATAAAATAGATAACTAATAAGGACCTACTGTATAGCACAGGGAACTCTACTCAATACTCTGTAATGACCTATATGGGAATAGAATCTAAAAGAGTGGCTATATGTATATGTATAACTGATTCACTTTGCTAAACACCTGAAACTAACACAGCATTGTAAATCAACTATACTCCAATAAAGATTAATTTTTTAAAAACCCCAAAACCCTATTTTACTATTTAAATCCAGGCTTAGGTATAGCATAAGGAAACAAGTCAACTAGCTCTATGTGAGTCCCAGTTACCTCAAACAACCTTTTAACTTATTTTCCAGTTTAACATTTAAAGGATTCCTAGCTTGTAAATTAAATTGGAATGAGATACTTACTTGTATCTCAAGTAAGAAAACAAGCAAGAAAAAGACACACCACATTGACTAAATGCCAATATTATCTTTCATCCGATTTTATTAACTTGGGTAAGTGAGGTAGATGGGTTTGGGAATCGTTATCCAGAGAAAAGGAATTGATTCTTGACTCTAACAAATACATGGAAAGAAAGAATACCAGCTAAAATAAGCAACTTTCAATATTTTCTACAGAAAATTTAGGGTATTTTACAATAATTTCAAGATGCAGATTTAAAAAGTATTTTTATGTAGCATAACCTTTCTACATTTCCCCTATAGGTGATATCCCCAGCAAAGCGTATACTATCTTTTTGAGATAAGAGATTTGGCCACGACTTTACGTGAGTTATAGTGATGTACCTGTCCTGGAAGGTAACCAATTAGTATACCTATTCTGAAAGATACCAGAAGTGCAAGAACTACACTTCTCTCCTTTTTTAGGAAAACTGGTTCTATTTCATCCCGACATTTAATAACACAGGTCATTGCACATCAGACCCCAGGAAAGAAGAGTCCAGAGAGATTTTATTTTTCACTTAAAATACCAACATTTAAGCCTTGAAAGCTGTCCTGGAGTTGGCTGAAAAATCGGTACAGGCTGAAATAATCTCTCCATTACAACCAGAGCCAAAAATGCGAGGGCTTCCGTACCAGTAACTCCTCCACATACGTTCATTTATTACTGCAAATCACAAGAACATTTACAGAGCATCCACCACCTACTCACTGTGAGATGGAAGGAGTGAATATGTAAAGACACTGGTTCCTGCTATTAAGGAGTGCCTGATGTAGGTGACTGAGATAAGATAAACGACCCCAAATTCACCCCTGGCCTCCTCCACGGTCTTGGCCTTCCTGAGAATGGCATGTGCTGAGCGGAAAACACTTAGCTGGGTTCTCTCCTACAGGTGCTATCAAGAAGCAGGGGTGGGCTGGTCTCTGTGAGAAATGCTAGGGCATTTTGGGGAGATTGGGGAGCCCTATTGTAACTCAACAAGTCTCTCAAACCTATACTAACATGTGTGGTAGAAAGAGAAATTGTATGGAAATACAAAGATGGGAGTAGAGGAGGGAGGTTCTGGCTTGGCCAGGCATGTAAAATCAATGTGTCTAACCTCTCTGTGAACTGTGTAGTCAATCACGTTTCCTCCCCCATGTTGGCTATAAGGAAGCTTGGAGCCAAATTTGTGGCCTCCTCTTAGCAAAATATAGGACTAGCCTCGCCTATATCACTTCCCTTCAACTTTCTCTCCCACTTCTAATTCATTTTATAATAACAGTTAATGTGTACTGATTGCTTACTATCACCTGGCTTGGTGAGAAACCTTTATATACCTTATTACATTTATTATCAACAATAAATCTATGAAGGTTTGTTATTTCCATTTTGAAAAAGACAGGGTTTGCCATCCCCTCTTTATAGATAAGGAAACTGAAGCATGGAGAGATCAGGTAATTTGCTGAATACTTTGGACAATCTGTCCAAGGTCACATAACTAGTAAGTGATGGAGAAGGGATTTGAAACCAGGTCTCTCTGACCCAAAAGCTGATGTTCTTAACCATGGTCTTTACCTTCTGTATATTTTTTGTAGATATGTAAGTGCCCCTAGAATAGATGGAAGTTTTAGTAAAACCAGTGCCCTTGAGCAAGTCCCTTTAGAAGCTGACTCAAATGCAAAGAAAAAGAAATGAATTCTTGCAGCTCAGCCGTTTAAACTCAGGGGTCTGGTTTCCTCCTCTATAAATTAAGGAGGCTGAGCCATTTCATCTCTAGGGTCCTTTTAACACTAAAACACTAAATGTAAATAAAAGATGCTATAAATTGTTCAGCTTCCCCTTATAATGTAATCAAGTTAACCCTTCTCCTATCCCAAGAAATTAACTGAGGTTGTTTTTCATATGAATTCATATTAATGGATTCATTCTCATGGAGCCATTGCCGTAATTAAAACATTTATTTCCTTCCCTCTCAGTTCAACAAATACTTATTAGATGCCAACTATGAGCCAGGGCTTACTTTATTTAAAATACAAGGTAATGAAAAACTTAGAGGAAATGAAACAAGGAAAAAACAAGTAAGAAATTACATCATATCATTGCTGCTTGTGAATTTGTCGAGACGTTAGGTATTTTCCATTGATTAAACAGTCTAATGGCTAACTCAGTTAACTTTCTCAGCATAGCAGAGGAAAACAAGGGTTACTCCAAATGACTTTCCTTTTGGACTGAGTGTTAATGTTAAAAATGCATGTTGAATTTAAGATATACAGAGAACAGAGTAATTTATACATTGCAAGCTAATTGGAATAGTCGTTGGATCAAGCTAAAAAAAAAATCCTATTTCACATCAGGAGAACAGAAGGATATAAATTTGTGAAAAGCTTAAGGAAGAGTGAGAAAAGAAACAGAAAGGAATTCTCTTGTCATTTATCCTCAAGTGTTTACTATGTGCTAAGCACCATTTGAGCTCAGTTATGTTATTTAGTACCCACAATGATCCTACTTGGTACTTATGATTATTCTGAATTATCTGCATTCAAAACTTTGATTATTTAGTTAAATAACTTGTCCAAGGTCACTCCAGTTGTGTCAGTGTTGAATTTATAAAGCAGATTTGTCTGGCTCTGAAATCTCATGGCCTTGGTTATAGAGGTTCATAATTAGTGATTTTATTTTGTGGGCTTGAATGTCTATAAATTGATCATTTATATGAAGTTGAAGCTCCATAACAATAGATACTCTTTACTTTAATCATCACCCTTTGAAGGGATCCTACTGGCTCCACTGTCATTACAATTAAGGAAACAACATATCCTGACAGCCTCCTAAACTTTATCTTAGCCTTTTATTTTTATGGTTCATAATATTTTATAAGGTTACATAGAATTTCAGTTGACTCAAAGGCTTTGCAGATTGGCTTATGCTTTTGTGAAGACCTTACCATTTTTATTAATGGGAAATGAACCAAATTATTTGTCCATCACTGCCTTCATTTGAGTGCACGCCTGCTTTGTGTTGACTTTTCATCCAACAAGTGTATTGTTGGTTTCATTCTTGAATATGAAGCTGTAAGGTCACCAACACTCTTATGTTCTCAAATCATAATTTACTAGTCCATGTTTTCTTTCATCTAAAATAATATATAATGGTCGGTGAGCAGCTGTCACAGTTACAGCCTATCTTAACCAGCAATGGGATAAGGCCTTTCAGTGTTTACACTTGAGATAGTGTAATTGATTTTGTTACCTCCTTATAAAATTATACTGCAAGATCATTATCTCTTTTGGTACCAAGTAGAGACGGTGCCCATGGAGCGATAACAGCAGCTGTGTTTTATTTCTATTTGCATCTGTATCCAGGAAGTAAATACGCTTTGTTTTTTTCTGGGGTTAAATACTAGAATTAAAATTCTTTGCAGGGAATATTTAATTACCTCCAGTTATTTACTGGTGAAATCAGAGAAATTTAGAATTTTCTTCTGATCTTAATTTTCAACATGATTGGGAAGCAGAACATCAAAGGGAACAGATATTTTCCTTCCCAGATACATGCATAAACATTGCCTTAGCCAAAATACAAGAATAATAATATCAACTATAACTATTAACATTAAAATAAATATTAACATTAGCTAATATTTGCTGAATATGTACTATCTGCCAGGCACTATACAAAGAGATTAATCGCACGATCTCATTGACTCCTCTCAACAACCTTAGGAGCTAGGTCTTATTGTTACCTCCATTTTCAAGGTGAGAGGTTTAGAGAGTGTGGGCAACTTGTCCAGGGCCTCACGGCTGGAAGTGATAGAGTTGGACCTGACCCTGCTTGATCTGACTCCAAAGTCCAGCTCTTTAACCAGCCGGAGGTGGAACTGGGGGTGGCAGAACGGATGGACACTTTTACTTCTTCATGTAGTCTTAGAATAAAACACTTCAAAAAGGAACAATAATAACAAAAAAAAACCCTCAACTTTCATTTTGTGAAGATGACTGTGATTCACTTCTTGCTTCCCTTTCTAACATAAGTTAGAAAGTTTCCCCCATATTTTTTTCAATATCTGATGTTTGTTTACCAAGGGAAATAAATGCAATGGATTTCTAAACCAAAAATCATAATGTAGGAATATGAAATGAATTATACTTAGATCATTTAAAACCAAACTGAGTCATGGGAATTTCTTGCCTTCCCATTTTTCATTTTGATGAAATTAATTGGCAGATCCATACTACGTAACCTCCTACAAACATATTATACAGCAGTGATTTGTACAGAACTGATTTGATGCTCCCTGAAATGCAAAAAT